GCGAATAAAAAAAAAAAAAAAAAAATGAATAAGGCAGCAGGAGATCAATGGAACGAGCGATCGATGCATGACGAAAGCACGATCGTGATCCTTCGAGCGAAATATCCTCGCTGGAATATCGATGCAATAAGTTCTGGCAGAAGATGATCTGGATATAGTTGGCAAATCGAATAAAATCTAGTCGAACTACGTATTATATACTTGCAGTCCTTGGTCCCAGCTTATGAATCAACCTTCCATGAACTAATTATCCTTTATATAAAATAATCCTATAGAAGCAGAAATGGTTATGTGCGCAGGTGAAGATAATTACTTATAATGATCGCTCATACATATGCACGTTGCAAAACAGAAGAGTCATTTGCAATTGCAGATGGATAGGTCGGTGTGTGTAGATGCAATTTTTTGCGGTAGGATATCCCTGTGTACAATAGTCGACGAACCGGCTACGCAAGTGTATTCGCGAATAATTTTTCACCAAACGTCGTTGGTATTCTTTATCCTTTAATTACTGTGTTCTGCGTTTCGGTTTACGATTGTCTTCGCGTACGCAACGTAAGCTAAGATAACGAAGACTAATTTAATTTGAAATTCGTAATACGATTGTATCATAAATTACGTTTACGATACATTATGATGATGATGTGTGTGTGTGTGTGTGTAATATCTAAACGAATTTGTATCTGTAATTTTGTGCGCAACTTATTTCGTGATTGGTATACACATATTCCGATGATATCTCTTGCTCCATTGCTTTTCCAAACTCAGCTGTTTTGCTCGACAAGAAACATGTAACCCTCTATAAGCAGAATTTCGGACTTATAGGAAAAGAAGTTCATAATTAATTATATAGCTATTTGCTCCAATTAAAAGTCTCAGAACTAATGATTGTTATGAATAAGTTATTTGGTACTTTTAGATAATGTACTGAATGAATGAAGTGATAAACAGAAAAGAATTTTTCAGATGTGGATATACGTGTACCGATACTACTAGTCATATAACTGTCAAGTCACGCGATGCTATACAAGGTGTAAACGACATATAGCTAAAATGAAAGATTTTTCAGGCATGTAACACAAAGTTTTATCAACGGATATCGAAGCCGTGAAGCGAAGAACACAGGCTTGCTGATCTTAGCTGTTGGTTAGTTTCGTAAAAGATGACCATGATCTCATTTCTAACAAGAAAGCACTCTAGCGGTATCGTCGGAAGAGACCAACGGTATCCTCGGTTATCCTCCGTTAAATAAGCTAGTCGAGGTATAAAAAAAAGGGTCGGTAAATTTTTTTGCTTTCCAACCATTCTCTCTGGGAAGAAGGACGTAACTTAGTCACGAGTCGGTCGATGCGGAAGAATTTTTTTCATGCAAACTTTTTCGCGTACTCCTTCTCGCTCTTATAGCCACTGCCAGATAAGGTTTGCTCGTTAGATAGTTTCTCGCTACGAAGGAACGCTGCAATTCTTTCGTTACATCCGCACTAAACTTTGCGTAAAACGTTGATCTGCCGATGTATTGTAGCTTATCGAAGCGGAAGTTTCGGAGGAGGAGGTTGGCAGACAGACGAAAGGACGAAAGGCGTGCAAATGCCATAAGCGGCGAACAGTCGAATCGTAAGGCGAAATTCTAGAAGAGCACAGGCGGCCGAAGGTAATTTGGCAAAGGTGAGACTTCCCATTGGAAGAAACGTAAAAGGTAGCTTGAAAGGAGGGATGAAAGGAACAAAAAAGGAGCACAACCTCGTGGTTGGAAGACGGCGGAGAAGAAGTGGGGAGCACAGAATGTCAGCGTGGGCGAGTAGGCCAACGGAAAGTTTCGCTCGAACTCTCGCGAGAATGTTACAATATTCGAACATTGTCAACCGAAGGCTACCGAAACGACTACGAACGCCTCGAAAGATCGATAAGACCCTTGAACAGTAGAGTAGTGTCCTAGATGATGACTGCAATCAAACGAGCAATCGGGATCTTTCATCCGGACGTACGTAAGTACTTTAAGTATAGACAAGTTCACAAATTATAAGTCAATAACTGTTAAATGATCCAACACAGATCCAGCAGCGGATTCTATGAACACAAAATACCTATCGTCAGAGAGATATATAACCGACATAAGAGATAACTGGAGGTGTCCAATTAAGTAAGTACCCGAAGGATGCTCTCTATTTCTCGCCAATTAGATCGCGATTATAAATAGCGAACGTTCACTTCCACGTTCCACGAACCGCCGCTTTATTATCTTCATTATCTCACGCTAATGACAGAGATTATAGTAGCTAAGTACGTTGCCGATGAAAATACGATCCGACGCGAGACAGTTGTACTAAATCGTGTTTATCCGTGTTGTATTTTAATCTCGATTATTCAGCGTTCATTGGCCCGGACCGGTAAATAATTTACGCGGACTGCGTGCATGCGCAAGGTTAATTAGCGGGACAATAAAGTTTCGCGTGGACACGAGTGATTCGTATCTATATCGGGCATTAAGTATCGGCGTGTTACACATCCTGGCTGTTTCGTTCGCGGCGATTTAATTTTCGTGTGTACGTAACAAGAGGCGATCGCGTCGCGAGTGCAGTTCGCAATAAAAAAGGCAAGTGCGCCGTTGCTCGCGGAGAGAAAGATCAAATGCGGTGGACGCGTGATGAGCAAGTTCGGCGAATAAATGAGAAAGCACGGATATACGACGCGGCGAAGCTGGATAGACGGTTCGTACGGGCGATCCTCCGTGAAACCGCTGCAACGACTGCATCAGAATGGTCGAGGGTTCTTGCGGCAACAATACTGCGGCTCCGAATTTATTCATGCCCCGACAAAATATTTCCTGGCCGCGCTGAGCGCCTGCGGTTTTCGCTGGATTATGCACATAGGACCAGCTAAAATCGTCCGACTATCAACGCTTGCCTCGTTTCGACAGTACGTACGTAACTACTCTGGTCTGTTTCTATATACATAGGCGACGAACGACGCGAGACTAGAAAAAGACACACCCGACCCTTTCAAACGGTGACGACGGAACATTCGCGTGATCTACGAACGTTAGAAAGTTCGTCGGAACAGCGCTGCAATCAGGATTTCGTATCCCTCTGCGAAAACCCGTTGTTTCATCGCGAACGTCAGTCAGATACTTGGATGTAGTCACTCTCAGCTATATTGACCTTTTATCTGGCGACGCCATTTCGAACTGGGCATGTAATCCTTTCAGGCTTATTGCTTTCACGAATTGACGGAATATAGTTCTTGGCATTCTATTTTGCTTGGCTCGATGTCAATAGTGTTTGCATTGATTTTTTTGAACTACGATTATCTATTAATAACTATATAGTCTCATAAAGTAATACTTAAGTAAGTAATATATAAAGTGTTCTGAGAAGTAGATAATATTTGTACTTATTATTATTAGAGTTATTATTGTCTCTTATACTTGTTATTATTAGACTTTAGGATCTTTATGCAATTTCATATTTTTATGATCGTAATTAGAAAACTGTTTTGTATAGCTATTTCAAGTTTTATGTACTTCTTTTTTGCATGCTCTATTCAATTTCTGTAACTTCGCATCCTTCGGTTTCTCATAAATGCATAAAAGGTTCGCAGTTCAATTATTATTATACGTCTCTGACCGTATTATTGTTAAGAATAAAATCAAAGAGACGTTTTATATTTATCTCGTCTATTGTATTTTTTTTTCTTTTTTAGTTGGCTGGTTTGAAATATATCGTGAGAGTGGATCCGAAACACGAAGAAGCCGAATAAAGAAAAATTGGAAAACAGGAAGATCTCAAATTTCGAATTCCCATCACGTCGTTTTCGCATCACTGAACCTGCGTCCAATTACATTTTACCATTGCATATTATGTATAGATGTACACTCTTTCTCAATTTCCTATCTGTTCTTTCGGTTGTGCAAGGAAAAATAAAATAAAACAATCGATCTTTCAATATGAAGAAATAATCTTCGAAGCATGAAAACGTTTGTAATATCGTCAGTTTATCATTTGCACTCGGAATAAAATGTCCACCGATAGATTAGGACACTTTTTCGTTATAATTCGCATGTTTATTTAACTAGAATGTTAATTGCAGTATCACTGCGATATTTTTTCCTACCAAATTCACGACTACATAACGAGATAAAGGGAACACACGGATAAAATGATTACAATCATATAAATACATTGCATTAACCTTGAAAAAATTAAAAAAAAAAGAAAAAGCAAAAGCTGAGAGAAAAGGAAAAAAATTTCACACCAACTTTATTTTACATACCAACTGGCCTTGAATTTTAGCTGCTACAACATTGGATGCACACGCTTCGTATGATATTCTTGAGTATAAATCTTCGAGGATGCGTAATTAATTGTACAGTTGTGTTAAATCAAACAATCAGCGGGATGTCGTAATTACCTATATATGGACAATAATAAATCAAATGTAAAGACGTAGAACCATAAAATGTAATAGCTTATAGCTTACGAATATTACACTAACGCTGTGTACCCAATTTCTTATTAAGCTTCACGGAAATGTTAACGTTAATATAAGATAAATTCGTTTGTAGTCCAATTATTTTCCCGCCATTTTCATCGTAAGTTATATTCTTGCAGGTATACAAGATTGCTCAAATTAACGTAAAATCAAGAAGACTTAATGATTTGTATAATTTCTTATCGACGCGGGAAAAAAACTTATACGCCCCGAATATTTGAACCAATTTAAGTACTGTTTGCTAGTCGAGTCACACTGTCAACGAACGATTCATTACCTGGTATAAATCCAAAAAGTGTGTTTTTATGAAGATTTAAACGATTTGAAACGTCCCTACTGATTTCGAATTAATCGTGACTACGTGTAATGATTCAACAGGAGCAAAAGATTTATATACTGTCGTAAAGATATCCCGCGAATATCTCGGCGCGCCATCGTCAGGAGTTTGTCATAACTACCAACATGTTCTCAGCTGTTCATGAGAATATAGCTTGTTAAACTGATCGTCTATGCGTTACGCTGGTAGAATCACGGTCGCGTTTGATGAACAATTGACAATGGATGGGACATCTTCTTCGACAACTGATGGAGAATAATGAACGGAAACAACGATTTGATATTCGTGGCGTTAAACGCGAAAGCAGTCATGCAACAATAGAACGAAACGTGAGAGACTTTGACGTAATACTTGCACTTTCACAATGTTACCACGATAATATTAAATAAGATTAAATGCGTTTAACTGTATTATGACTACTCGAAATGAGAAACGAACGTCAAGAAATGAAGATAATATAGGTTATATAGAATGCGTAATATATTTCGACATTCGTCAACGAATACATTACAATGATTTAAATTTAACTGACTTTTCTCTCCGTATTTACTTTTCTTTCATATATTGTATCATATTCGTCGACTCGTTGGCTATGTTAATAATGGCCGGCTGAAATGTGACATGTTTGTTTTCTTACGCACTATCGAAATACGTGATAAAATACGAATAACGATTCGTCAGTAGGAGACACGTTGCAAAGAGAGTTTTGTGAACGAATCTACAATAAAATATAAAGCTAATCGACAGTACTGACCTGTATTAAAATGTGTTAGTAGAAAATTCCGATATAAACCGGCGTGTTATTCGGCTCCGAAACTAAAGTAAACACGTGGTCATATAACACATATATAGCCATTCTGGATGAAGGATACCATATTACAGCAGGACGCATGCGCGTAAATAAGTATGTTTTCACTCGCGTTTGTGACGTATAACTAATAGAATCTGAGCAAACGGATTTTCCGTAGAAATATAAGAGCTGCGAATAACTTTGCAGTCGGTCGAGTAAAATTTAATGAATCCGACGATCGACCCGACGGCGTGTCGTGGCACGAACTGGTCACAGTTAATCCCTACGGAGTTCCTCTTCTGTCCTCGCATACATGTACGCGTGGAATACGAAAGAGAACAACCATGTAGCCCCCAATGTATATGACGAAGCGAATCACAGTTTGATTACGCGTCACGTTTTTGTCTCTCGCGACTCGTGTTTCTACGTAATGTCTTGTTTACCATTAATCTGCGTTTCAGTCACTCTCACTTGTGTTTCGATACTCTTCATCACTTCTTGATTGACGAACACTGTTTATATACACTACATGACCATATAAACAGGTTAAAATACTATTTTCCTTTTTTTCAAAACACACAGTTTTCAACGACAGTTAATGTATGAGCGCACGCTTTCGCGGAGTTCACATCCCGATGAAATATGTAGTCTATGACATAATAGGAAGTCAGGCGGGCGCGGGAGTCTTGTTTATTGGCGCTGCTGTCGATGTCGACGAGTCAACATTCCAACCTACGTCACTTTCGTCGTCAAAGGTGTTGCTACTGTAGGTGGTACGGTCGTTTCGGCCTTAGGTAAAGGTAACGCTGTCTGAAGAAGCTCCGAGAAGACAAGGTGGGGGTTTATGGGTTTGCATCCTATGTACTCCATCGTATCTCTAGTTATGGCTCCACGACAAAACCCACCTACATAACTTCGCGACATTATTATGTGTATCGAATATGCAAGCAAACGTCGATCTACAAATATCTGTAGTATATGCGCTTGCAAACAAACCTATAGATATTACATATAGGATAGGTATTATAGGTATGTTTGACACGGTAACTGGTACGAAAGCGAGATAAAGATGGAAAAAATCGTCTGGTAAAAACATCGTACGGATACGCTGGTAAGTATACTATATACGTATATACACGTCTACGTTGGCTAGAGAGGATTTTAGTAAAATTGAGTTTCCCCACCCAGCCTATTTCCAAAGTAAGCTGCTACTCGCTTCTGGCGTGTATTCTGCGTTGATGCCAATATGCATGACGTGGTGAAATTGAAGCTTATTTTTTTCTCCTATCTTCAGGTACTTTATTTTTTCTTTTTATCAGGAGCTTCTAGATTAAAATTTTAATGCGAAGCTTGATGAAGCTTTTTTTTTTTTAAACTGGAGGGTGATGCATATAAAATGCAAAGTTTGATAAATTTCTCACTTAATCTAAATTACGATCTTGATTAAAGTACATAAATTTGTAAAATATATAAAATCATCGTTTGATAAAACTGCAGTATGAAAACTGTCACACAGTATACAACGTGTATATCGGTAAGGTAGGATGCAATAGAAGTTATCGACCTATATCGTACTGAACTGAGCAACCTTCAGACCTAAATACGTATGAATATATACATACATATTTATAATTAGAAATACTTATGTAATTCTGTCATAGTTGCTTTAATCAAAGGTTATTAACAAATTTTATATAAAATTTACATAAATATCACATCAAACTTAATTTTTTATATAATTAACAAACTTTCCATTATTTAGATATTAGAATTATTAACATGAAATTGAAAAGACATTAATAGTGTTATATTAAAGCCTGATCCTATTTTATGACAGCAGTATCTACATCTCACGAATTACATTTAATGCTATTGTTGCATTTTGTTGAGAGATGAAAATTATTCTCTTCGCGGAAACTATATAGGAGCATCGATTGCAAAAATCATAAAATGTTGCCTGGTTTCGGTAGAAATTCAACCTGGTCTCGTATTACTTTACCTTCAAAGATTTAACGTACACAAGGATAGAGTGTCGGGATAGCTAGCTGGAGGGATGGAAAACGCTGTTGACAGTAAAGTGGTGGGGGAAATCTTGGCTAGAGAGCGGCCATGATGGTTCGAGCGACCAATCAGCGTGCCGCATCGTCTGTTACGCCGTAATGGCCGCGGTACACCACCCAATGTAAAACTCCGTAGACGATACGCTTATTGGACACGAAGGCGTTAAAAGTTTTATTGCATGACTGACAGTTACACCCTGCATTTCAAACCCCGCCACACTCGTCTTTCTCCCTTAAATCGTAAAAACCAAGGCGAGGATCCGTCGTAGCCGCGGATACTTTGAAAAACCCTCTATGACTGAGAATGCCCCCTGGGCTACGCCCTACGAACTGGGCTTCATGTTGCCTGGAAACTCCATTTTTCAGTTACTTTCCACCATCATCCCTCTAATCAAGATTGTACAAAAGTATAATTAATTTTTCGCAACAATTTCGCAGCTGCTTAATTCAGAAATTTTTTTTTAAATTATTACTTGCTTGATTTCAAACTATTATAACTATTTATTTATAGTTTGATTATTAACAGAATAAAAAAAGGTATTTATAAACATAAAATATAGCGTAAAAGTAGGTACATAATATTAATTGCGCTATCTGGAATCAAAGCATTTTCAGTTTCTATATTTTAATAATCTCCTAATTCGATCGTATCTAACTAACAGTGATAAAAGAAACGAATTTGTGTTACAAAATTCATGAGTTTTTTCAATTTTCTTAAAAGTGAACATTGTGTGTTGTTTATTGTTCCTGTTGTTATAATTGTGAGGATTTTAATTATTTCTTACTGTAATAGGTATCACACTTTAAGATATCACTAGTAGATGAGGCACTAGGTATTGTAATTAATATTAATGAATTTTCTCATATAATTGAATGATGGTTTTCTTCATTCGCATAATTTATCTTCTTATTGATCAAAATTTTATGCAAGACTATACACGTGAATTAAATGTGTTTAATACAATATTTGTTGTGATAGCATAAAAAAATTAGGAAAATAAATAGACGAATTGAATGAAATATCGTATATAACAGTAACGATAATTTGGTGAACGATAAATGGTAATTGTACGTATTAAGAGATCAACAAGCGTGTAATAGTTTACTCACCGTTGGTCTCGATCGATGAACTCCGATCTCGTGGTCTTAGGACACTGCACTCAATTATAGTTAACACGCAAATGTTTATTAACAGATTATTACTGCACTAGGGTCTCTTTTCAGTATCGTAGAATTCTTCTATGAATTTATAAAAAAAAAAATCACAATTATGTACGAATTGTATCAGCAGAAAGAGTTCATTGGTGATTTTTTGCTCTAAATCAAGGACATCTACTTTGTATTTCTCGTGATTCTTACGTCTTAATCCGCTCTTCTATATTTACTCGTAAATATAATTTATTTTCTTGCAAAAATAATATCGATTTGCCTTTATATATACATGTATTTTTAAATTGTATCAAATGCTAGATACCTTTTAATTTCAGGATCCTCCTCTGCTTCCAGTTTTCTTCGTCCATTTGTAGTGTCCAATATTTTAGGAATTAAATATTTTTATGACTTGACAAACCTCTAGAAAATACGTTCGTTTATGTATACATTTGCATAACTCTATTTATTTTCTTTCGAGCCCAAGCAGCAGCATATTACGCTTCCATTAGCGATCTATATTTGTATCATCGGGTTTATGCACTGAACGACCATCTACTCTTCAACGCTTCTTCGAAAAACATTTTCTCCAAACATTTAACGTTTCCATTTCCATAAAAATTTCAATGGATCTCTTTACGCGTTCTCCATTTTCGAAAGAGGTCTCATTCGCTGATTATTTATTGAAGTTA